TGTCTAGGAAAAGACAAAAATGTTTCCAGTAAAAATAGCCAGTTAAACATCACGTACCCTCCATTCCCCCAATGTTAACTTTGAGCTGTGTCCCAAAAGCTCCAGCTAATAATTAGATTCTCCTGCAGAACTGGAAGCTTTGACTTGCAAATGCCACAAAGTGGTATGTGATGCTTGGGGCATGTTCTCCTGTAACCTGCTGCTGATTTCAAAGGCAAGACTGAGGAGCAGTTCCTTCAGGTGACTATAGGCAGCTCAGGCTGCTGGGAAAAAGCGGGATAGATTGAATAAACTAATCTTCATTAGTAGCACTCAGCAAGAGAAACAAGGGCTTAGAGAGAAGGGACCAGGAGACAAGTGAAATGGAATGCAAGGCTTTTATTTTATTAGCTGCATAGCACTTCATTCTTTTTACAATGAATGAGCTAATTAGATGTTGGGTATACACAGTGGGAGAATAGGGAAGAGTGAAAGAGCTGAGATTTCACTTCAGTGTTGATTTCGTGTAATCTAAATATGATGTTAGTATTCTAATTTAAATACTTGATTGCACTTAGCTTGGTAAAATGGTTAGGACTTCACTGTATTGGGTGTAGTCCAACTGGGACAGTCTGTTTGTCAGGCTCAGGGAAGTTCTGCAAGGATTTAGCTGGAAGTAAGTAAGAGAAACTAGTTTGTGTCACTGTATGAGTCTGTTACTTTGGTTCAGTATTTGCAGTTATGAGTAGATTTGGTGGTCTCTACTGTGAGCATGTTTTGCTGCCTTTGCTGGCTTGAGAAAACTTCTGGGTGATGCCAGCTAAGCATTGCAGCCCCTGATTTTGGGGTTGAGGGTGTCCTTGCATCTCTGCCCTTGTGCATCCCCAGCTAGCGTAACAGCCCTGCGGGCAGTGACCAGCCAGCACAGAGACATGACTTTGTGGTTTTCTTCTGACTTGATCCAAAGTCAGAGCCAAGATTAGACTCACCTGAGTGCGCCTCCAGCTATTTATTCTTCTGATCGCTTTGCCTGGTAGCCCATGTCAGTGGGACAAGATCCAGCATGACACACACTGCAGTTATTCCATGGAAAAAGCAACATATATCCCCATTAACCATTGAGTTGCTTAGGAGCAGGCAGTAATTCATCCTTACACAGAGAAATTCTGGGGACATTGCAGCTTCTGGTCTTCCACAACCACTTTTCTGGGGGAGATAGGCATATTTGCATACTTCCTAATTCTCTGCTTATTCCAAAAATAGATCTTTATTTTATATTACTACACACTTAGTATGAACTTTTAGTTTGCTTACATAGTAATGGAATCAGTTTACATAATAATTCTCTTGTTCCCTTGACAGTCCTTATTGCCTAGACATGCTGGGTTTTGTTACCTTACGTGAACCATTAATTGGAATCTGATGTTCTTGGCAGGAGTACATTCACAAATGGCAGTGTTGTACATCTGTGCTTACTGTGGGGGGAGTGTCTAAATTTTAAAATGCGAGCAGAACCTCCAAATAAAATCAGTTGTAGAGAACAATTTTGGATATAGTCTGTTGTTGCAATATATAGGAAAATAATCAGCTCTTCAAGAAGTAGTTTTCCCAGAATATCACTGGGAGTCTCTTTTTAGATGCTTAGGTGTTAATATTTTCTAGATTATTCTCTAAGGTTTTCTGAGGCAAATTACCAGCTTATGAGGGTCCTGCTCCGTGGCCAGGCCTCCAGGATATAACAGTAATAGAAGCAGATATCCACACAGCTGCTGTGCCACATTTTTTACTCTTCATTTCATCTAACTACAAAACAACATAATGGTTATTCTAGAAAAATATTTAGCTATAAAATACGGATTTTCTCCTTTGTGAAGAAGAAAATTCCCCATTAGTGACAGAAGATTCATTACCAGTGGACGACAGTGTGAGGCTTTGCTCCCAGTAGGGTTTGACTCGGGGGAAAATCGTGATGTCCTTTTTTCAAACCTGTCACCTTTTGTTTGGGGGGTTGGGATGGTGTTTCAGTTATGAAAAGAATCCTCAGTTTGTTCTAGTTTTTATAAACAAGCAGACTGAGCTGAGTACTGTCAGCACCTGGACCTGATGGCCATGGTGGCTACTGAGATGGTCACGAATGCCCAGAGATCAGGTGTTGTTTGGGATGCTGAAGCCGTTGTTTGATGTGCATTTTCATCCAGTGCTGTTCTTAAAAGAAGGAATTTTGCCATCTCCCCTGCTTGGTCGCCTTACCCTGTCACCACTCTGCCACTTCTCTGTCCCAGCTTGTGTTGTCCTTCAGCCTTGCTGCAAGTTGGACTGGGGCAGTCCTCTGCTCAGGGTGTGCATGGCCATGTGCACACAATAGCCAGAACTTCTCTCTCATCATGTATTTCACACATCTCTTGGTGAGCACCTTGCTTGCCTTCACCCACTGGCGTCCTGCTTGCTGTCTGTGGAAAGCTCAGTGGTGTTGCCCTTTCTCCAAAGAGCCATTAGAGGTGCTGTCATGGAAGAGATGTAGCCGCTGCCATTTAAAAGTGACTTCAGTGCCAGCAAAATCCAAAGATCTGGAGATGAAACCAAGAGCCGACACAACCTAGAGTTGAGATAGGATAGGAGAATATCAAAGAGTGTGTGAATTCCTTCTAGAGAAGTTAAAATTTTACTGTTGGGGGAGCAGGAGTGTTTGGGTGCCTCAGGTGCCCCCTATGCATTTCTGACAGCCCAGAGTGCCTGCACTGCTGAAGGAAATTTCTAAATGTGAATCCATGGGTCTTGCTCCTTGGTTGTAACTGTGTGATTAGCTTCTCGGAGGAAGTCCTAAGAGCAAAATCAGACTGGAAGCAGTCCACACAAAATGTCTATGTGTCGCTTTCATGGCTGAACAGAGGTGTCTGAAGTGGGCATCGAGCCTTGATCGTCACACCTGGTGGTAAACCTCCCTTGTTTTAAGAAAAGGCAAAAAAATGCGGGTGCCGTGCCAGGGCTGCCTTCAGAGGATGTTTGCCATTGTTTTCCTCGCTGCACATTCATCCTTCTAGCATCTGTCTTGGATTGACTGCCTCAGAAAAGGCATTTACAAGTAGAATTGAAGTGTACTTAAAAGCCAAATATGGGTTGTTTGTTGTAAAGCAGCCGATAGATAGTTGGCAAGACACCAAAAGGTCCAGACACTAATCTAATTGTTTACAGCTCATGGAGAGATTAATCCACAAGATTGGATGCCCTCATTTCCTTTACACATTACAATGAATGTGTGAGATGCCAAACCCCATGGGGGAGCAGCAGAAAGAAAAATGGCTCCATTTTAGTGCAGTTATTGTTTCAAGTTTAGAGATGTATTGATTCTCATTGGTTTTTGATAAGAATATAAATGCAGTGCCTTGCTTAATATTACAATATTTTTGTTTTCTAGCCTCAGTAAAACAAAATCGTGCTTTCTTATTTTAGTGTGATGTAATGCTCTGCAAAATTCAGATCAAACATACAGAATAAAATGTATCAAATACATGGTGAAAATGGTCAGGATACACTTGCTGCCTTGCGAGGGCAAGCAAATGCTCCGCTTCTCTGAAAAATGGCCAAACACACAGATACCCAGGCTGGTGAGCTCTGAAAATGTTGGCTGCTGCAAGATGCTGAGCATCTGCGAAGGGAAAAAAACAACCCTGATATTACTCGGGTGACCGGTGAGAATACTGCCAACACTGCTGAGTGGAAGTGGCAAGCAGGGGTTCTGTGGAAGAGGCTTTCTCTGAACTGACAGTGGAGCTCCAGAGCAAACAGTACTGTGGGGCTAGCTAGACTCTGAAGAGCGAATGAGTCAATGAGATTAAAAAGTGGTGATGAGGGGGGTGTGCTCCTGCCCCCCACCCACTGGTGCTGGGCTGGTGGAAGGGCAGAGCACGGCCATGCCGGGGCTGCCCCGTGCACCCAGGGCAGTGTCCTGGGGAAGGGTCTCTTCGTCCTCTGGGTACCAGTCACACTGACAGCGATCCTGAAAGGGGATGCCCCTTCTGCTGGCAAGAAAAATCCCCAAGGCTTTGGCCAGAAGCAAGATTTGGAAATGCTACCTGGAGACCAGATAAATAACACCTCAGTCTTGCAGACCTGTTAACCTCTGACTCTCTGGCTCAAGCTGAAGAGTGTTCATGAGCAAAGCGTGTGCATGTGTTTGAAAGCTGGTGGGCCTGTGAGCTGTTTACTGGTCATCATTGATGAAATTTTGCTACAGTTGCAAAGAATTTTCAAAAAGCTAATGGGATTGAGATATATTTATTCCGATGTTGCAATACCTGGCACATTTGGGGGAAGAAAATTAATATCCTGAACTTAGTCTTTGACTAAGCACGTCCTCATGTATCATTTTCCTTTACCAGCTTTTGGGAATCAGAATGTTTTGCTAGTCAGGACTTGTTTTGACTTAGTTTTTAATAATATCAGTCAGCACCATGTTGCCTGAAAGTCTGAATCTGACAAAAGTTTAGTTTTAAATGGGCTGCTTTTATGAGGTCATGTGTAGACTCATTGCTCCTGAATCAAGATCATAAATGTGTAGTTTTAATAACATTCAGTGAGAATAAGCATTTGCACATCCTTGGATGTGCAATAGTTCAGCTATTTCAGCTGTGATGTGGAGGGAGCATTTCAGGATTTGCACCTAGCTTAAAATACTGTGTTTTGCAAGGGATGGTAGAGAAAGAAATAAAGTAATTTTTTTTTTCTCCATAGTGCAATACTTCTCCCAAGGTAGAGGGACAGTACCAAGCACATCCAAAGCCAAGATTTCTGTGATGGAAAAAGCAGTTTGGGAGTTGAGTTGAAAGCTGGTCATTGCTGTACGTGAACACTGAACGAGGGGACTGATGGAGAGAGGGGACTGTAAAGCAGTTTCAGTCCTCTACTTCACGATTATTTTTGTGTTTCGGGTCTCTTCTGGAGCAGTCAGCATAGGAGGGTCTTGATAAAAGGTCACCATGATATATCCCTTCTGTCTGTGAGAACCTGCATTTCTTCCGCAGGGGGTGGAGCGCATCGACCTGCCGGGGCTGAGGAGCCTGCGCACCGCCCGCAGGCTGGAGCCGGGCATGGTGCTCACCATTGAGCCAGGCATCTACTTCATCGACCACCTGTTAGACCAAGCCCTCCATGATACTGCGCAGTCCTGTTTCATCAACAATGATGTCCTTCAGCGCTTTAGAGGATTTGGTGGGGTGAGTAATTCTTAACCAGATGATTTTCTGAAATTGGTTTTTCATTTGCTTGCCCTTACTCTGTAATTGAGAAGAAATCTTTTGGGAGTTGTAATGTGTTGCACATGGGGCTCTTCCTGAAGCAGCACCTTGGTGCTTTCAGCCGTTTGACTCTGCACACAAGCTGTGGGGTTTTTTTGTTATTTTTGAATGCAGCTTTATACTTGCTGATACCTGATTAATGATAGACCCGTATTTTTCCGTTGATTGAAATACCTTCTGTCAGCACTGTACAGTGGCTTGCCAGGTAGGTGTTTTGTCTAATGTATGTTATGAAATATGAGGCTGAGATCCATGTTCCAGAATTAGCTTCCTTGACAGCAGCACAGGCCAGTGCTCCCTCTCAGGGCAGAAGAGCCTGAAGCTGTTTAAGTCAGGGAGTCAGTAGAGAAAAACAGCAATAATTGCTTTTACTGGTGTATTGTGAGAACAATGCAAAACTTTTGAACGTAAAGTCTTCCCTGTTTTCCAAGGGAATGGCCAATGGTCTTCACGAACACCTGTGCTCGAGGTACCGCATTGCAGGCTCAGGAGCAGGAAGGTTGGCTGGCCAGGAGGTAGCTACAATCCAGGTCATCATTCCCATGCTGGCAGCTGCTGTGCAAGTAGAGGGGCCTTGTTCCTCTGTGCTCTCCGGGGCTCACTTACCATTCAAAGCCAGTGCCCTCAGAGCGTTTACCAGTCACAGTGGTTTCCAGTAGGTTTTCATTGTAGCAGGGTGAGCATTTGAAGGGCACCGCATTGTTCTCTGAGCTTCTGTATTCATGCGTAGAGAAGATAGAGCAGGCAGCTGCAATGCCCCATCCTCCTCGTGGCTTTTCTGCTAAGTCTCAACAAAGCTAACAATCACTGGCAGCAGCGGTGATTTTCTGGTATGAAAAGTCACTCGTTAGGAATTGTCTACTGCTGCCATCAGCTAATTTATCACTGTACACCAGCCATGAGAGGGTAATTACTGTAACACTTTTGGTCTGAGCTGTCTTTGAACCACCAGCACCAACAGACAAGTTGCATGTGCCATCACCAGTCGTGTGAACCAGCCAGGCCCCTGGGCAGCCGCCCGCAGAGGCTCCACATACTATGCATGTGCAGCCTTACCGGGAGATGCGGGACTTTACGCTCACTGGTATTTAACTCACCGCTGAGGTTTGGGACGTTATCTGTCTCTGTTGTTTCTTTGTCAAGACTTGCCAGCCAACCAGCCGAGATACTGGTGAAGGAAAGGCAGCTAACTCTGCATTTTCTGATGGTGAGCGCGTTACATATGGGAGGAGGAATGCTGAAATGCGCTTCTGTAGCTTGATACCGCAACAAAAACAGGTTCAACTATCTTCACTTTCCTTGTAAACACTCTGTGGGAGTTTTTCGGCAGTTGAATTGATTCCTGGTGAGCTTTCGCTGGAAATGCTCAGCAAAGCTCATGGTTTTCCAAGACTTGCTGTGAATGCCCCCTCCAGCTCTGCAGCCCGAGGCACGCACATGGCTCACTCGCTGCCTGTGTTTGTGTGGGAGTGACAGTGCAGGATCTCTACCTTGGTAATAACTTGCTGGATCAGGCACTTTTGTTCCAGAGATTTCAAGCAAAGTCTAACTTTCTCCCCTTTTTTTTGCTTAGCTTTGGGTAATGATGACTTGTAAGGAGAGCTAGCCAACAAACTTTGCTAAAAGGGGGAGCTGCCCAAAAACGATTGAGCAAAATCTAAATCTCTGATCCCCTGTGAACAATACATTTTATTTAGAGAGAGGAAAAAATAATACACACATACCCTGAGCCAGATGTTGTCACTTGATTTTGTCCAGGAGAAGAATGGAAATAAAATCCAAGACTCAAGTACATCCGAATATTTGTGAATTCTACACAAAAGCTGAATTATAATACAATCAAAATTATTTTTTCCATCTTTATCATTGTGACTTGATTCTGCATAAAAAGAACATGCAGTTTGGGCTGTGTAGCATGCTTAGTTACCTACATGCTGGTTCATTCTAGTTTATCCAGAATGAGTGAGTATTTCTCATAAAAACTTGTCAGAAAACTTTTTATCCATGTGATTAAAACAGATCTTGTGAAGCCCAGTGCGTTTAATGACAAATATTAATAGTACAACAGTTAGTATTTGTGTCAGTTCTAGGCAAAGAGCTCAGTACAGCCCGTCCAATCTTCCTTTAAGTTTAAAAGAAAAATACATTCTACACAATGAAATAAGTAGTCCATTTTGCTCTGCAGAGTTCAGCACTAATTAAAATCTTCTTAATTTAGTTTGGTTTAGTTTAATTCATTTCAGAAATGAACTTATATTAACCAAAGTAACACCACTGTAATTCTGAGTATGGCTGTCTGCACAGGGGATTTGTGGATTTTAATGAATTCGCCTTGAATTCAGGTCTTCTTTGGGCTTTAGATACTTTTCTTGGCTGTGACAAGATTCTGCATTGAGAAGCTCTTTTGCCATGTTCTTTTGCAGCCATTTATTGCAATTCTTGCTGCCTGTTGGTAGCATAAAGAGATTGTAAAAGCAGGGAAGAATGAGAGACAACATGAGGTTTTCCCTCTCCTGCCCTGTGCTGCGGCAGGTGGCACCGCACAGCTCCTGTGCACAACCACAGCCCGGCCCACCTGCCCCCTGTGACACAGGTACCCAGGCTTCATGGCTGAAAGTGCTGCTCAGGGGCCTTGTAATTGGGGCTTTTATCAAACAAGAGCTGTTCTGGGTCAAATACAGGTCCCTCTGGAGGGAGGCAAAAGGTTTTGCGAGGGGATCTGCTTCCAAGAGCACGGGTTGTCATGTCTGAGGCCCTTAGCCCTTTACTTGACAGCTGCTGGGTTTAGCCCTTCCCAAGGTTCCTCATTTCATTTCGGGAAGTTACTCGGTCACATGTGCTTTGGTTCTCCATCTGCAAAACGAAGGTCCAATGTACCCAGGTCGTAAATTCTGTGGGGCAAGGGCTACTGCCGCGCGCTGGCGTGGTGCCCGTCCCAGAGCGCCTCTGCTCTGCCTGGACTCTGCCCCGCCATGCTCATAAGTAAACATAGGTGTGCAAATAGAGCTATGTGTGTACAGTTGTCTGTATTGCTCAGGAAAAGCAGCCGATTCCTCAGGGACGGGGAAATACCGACTCCAAATGCTGCCCTTTAGGATTTGACATTTCCGTTCTTCATAAGCTGATTACTGATTCATGCAGTTCATATGATGTTTTGTCAAAGACCCAGTAAAACTATTCAGTTGTTTTTTGGCCTTAAATATTCAGTCTACTCAGGCTTTATTTTTTGATGTTATTTGTAAAACTAACACTAGACTGAAAACTGTGCAACTTAGAGAAAATGCTGAAAGACTCTTTCATTTGCAGATTTTTCTCATTTAAAAGTTAAATAGATTTACAAATCCCAGAACCTTGAAGATCTGCTAATATTACAATATTTTTCAAAACAATAATACTTCCCTTACTCGGGAACAAATGTTAAACCAAATAGGGAGCAAAATATTTAATTGCTTCTACCTTTGGTTCACAGAGCTATGCAGTTGTCTCTGTCCTGGTTTTTATTTTTCAGAAGGCTGAGCTCTGTTTCTGGGTTTATGGTGAATGTGTATTGTGGAATTAAATAGTTTACTAGGCAATATACATTAAACTCATCTGCTTTTTGACATTTCTTATTATGCAGCCTCAATAATGCTACACAGCATCTTTTGGAAAAGTTTTCGTGGGAAGGCAGTTGTCATAATGAAATACAAAGCTTTCTTTAAAGTTCGTGTAAGAGAAGTGATAGGTGTAGGCAGCCTAAAAGCAGTGACTAGTTGCTTTTAAACCTTCTTTAACTCTTTTCTCTTGTCTAATTAACGTAATTAGGTTAAAATAAGAGCCGTTGTTTCTAAACCATATCTAGCTTATAGTTGATTGCTTCTTTTTGAGCTTGGATGAAGGGACTGTGTGCCTGAAGCTTCTTTTCCCAGCCATATCAGTTGATCTAATAAAATACATGGCCTCACCCTACTAATATTGATCCTCTTTTATAAAATGTTTATATGTGGGCCTTTAAAATAAAATGTGCCTGACATAAGGACTTGCTTGTCAAAAAGAAGTGGGAAGACTGGCAGCATGGGATGAGAAGGAGTCCTTGTGTCACCCAGAGCCTACCAGCCTCTATAGAAAATGCCTTAGTGTTCCCACTTCGTGTGATGTGGTAACAGGAAGGTGCCTTCACCAGCCCTGCAAGGTACCCGCCTGTCCCTGGGTGTGATGGAAAGGCAGCTCTGTTTCCCAAGCAGTCCCCCTGAAACACAGAGGTTGAACCCTGCTTGTGGTGTGGTTGCTCTGTTAAAAATTATTAGTGAGTTGATGACTGAGTCAAGGTAAGTCCCCTTGGCTATATGCATCTGCCTCTGTAGGATACCAGCTGTAAAACCAGACACATGGATCCCTTGGCCAGACAGAAACACGTGTGTTAATTAACTTTATGGGGTAGCTTGTGTGGCCCACATCCTGTCATCGTTTCCAGGCGAGTCTCCCACTCTGAGATTTTGCAGCGATAGCATTGCTGCTTCCACAGCCATAATCAAACAAATGCACAACAGATTTTAAAAAAAAAAGGAGACGTCACCAGTGGTCTTTTTTAATCACATCTGGGATCTGTCATCATGCAAATCTGAACTATTTAATTGGCCAAAATTGTTTCTTGATTCTCAAAAGCCTTTTATATGTATCATCATCCAAAAGAAATGAATGAGTGCTACAACCCCCTTCCCTTGGAAGATAACACAGGAGGCTCTGGGGAGCATGACTGTATTAGTAAGTGAGGACAAAGTGCGAGGCTGTATATATAGCTGACAGTCAGCCCTGGTATTTAACTCCTATGTGGTCCTTGGCTGTGCCCGCACGGCCGTACTGTGGGTCGAAGTTGGGTCTGCTGAGTCGAGCCACATGATAGTCTGTTACTGGTGTTAGGCAGTTGTGCAGTAAGGTCTGGCTGGACAGATCATGCCACTACCCTTGATAAGAAACAGGGACAGTCATGGCATTCGTGGCCACTTCACCTTCTTCGCAGAAGTGCTTTCTGAAGCATGCCATTGCACACCAAAAAAACAAAGCCTCCCCTGGGGCATTTGCAGAACCTCACACCTCGTTCTGCTGTTCCTTTAAGCCCTGTTTGATTCCAAACCACTCTGTAGCCCTGAAACAAGCAGCACTGTTGAACAAAGAGCCTGTGAACAGGGACAGAGCTGAGAGCAAGTTTCATAACCGCTGTCCCCCACTGGGAAAGACAGTCCCAAGCCAGTGAGCCTTGCCAGGCAGATCCAGCATCTTTTGTCCATTTGGACAGGAGACAAGACCAAATGCCGACCTCTCCTGTAGGGAAGGTTTTGCAGGTCCTGTGGAGCTGCTGCTGAGTTTAAGCTCAAGGTGAAGCATGGAGGGTATGAAGGAAGAGAGCAAATGCAAAAATTTCCTCCGCCTTGAGAATCTGTGTTCCTATGCACTCGAGTTGCTTTTAGGCAAAAGTAAAACATGCACTGAGAGTGAGCAGTCTGTCTTCTCTGTCAGGTTAGGGGCCTGTTTCAGGTGAGATTCACTCGGGCAGAGAAATGCTTAGATCCTGGAGAAAGAGCTGGAGCTTTCCTGGGAGTGATGGGTGAGGCCCCGTCGAAGCAGCAGGTCTCTGCACCTCCCGCAGGTCTGTGTTACATCCCAAAGACCATTTGAAGTTGCTGATGGTGAGCAGGCTATGACGGTGCTGACTGTCCTGCTTTTCACAGCAATCCACAGCTGTGGATTGATTATGTCAGCTCCTAGCAATGTTTCTCCTTTACAGTGAGTTGTGTGTGGCACTCCAAACTGATGAATGTCCCCATCCTCCCCGTTGTGGTAACTCTCAGTTCCCCAGCTCCAGCAACCCCTGTGTTCTCCTCACTCAGTGTGTCCCCCTTCTAACCTTCACCAGGATCTCCCTTCCTGGACTCCTTAGCCAGGCCCATCTCTCTTTGTCCATTATTTGTCATCGTCTCACCTCACGGTATCGTCCTTCCCCCAGCTCCTTCCGTCATTCTAACTCAGTTTTCCAGCTCCTTCTCCATCCTGGTTTTCTCTTGTGGCCTAAATGGGGCGTAGCATTGACAGACACCTTGTACCACTTGTTCTTTCCCCTCCCTTTTGGTCTGGCTTTCATCTGCTCTGCTTTCAAGTCAGTCCATCCTCCTAAAGAGTGCCAAGGTATTGGTCAAGATACTGAACTGGAAAACAGCACCAGTTTTTTTTCTTCTTTTGCTATTCTTACTGGTAAAACAGATGGATCATGGCTGATATTGCTCTGTAGCCGATACATGGGGGAATTTCAGTTCAAGCAGGTGAAGGTTTGTGAGTCTAGTGGTGCTCAGGAAGAGGCTCTCTCCGGAAGCGCAAACAGCTCTAGCTTCGGCTGGCCTCCCCCCTGCTCTCAGACTTACTTCTGCGCTGACATTTTCACTCTCCACATCAACGCTGTGCCCAGCTCCCTTCACACTGCTGTGCTTGCCAACATGATGTTTTGGCTTTTACTCTGTCACCAGGTCTGTCCTCTGGATTCTGGCACTTCTGCAGGGCTCGCCTGGCACCAGCAGGTTTTTGGCAGGAGCTGGTCTATCCAGGCGGGCTGTGCCTGGGACCAGGACCCAGCAGGAGAGGTGCTGGGGCTGCTGTGAGGCAGAGGGCACGATTCACCTTTAGATGCCATTCGAACATATCGCTGAAGCCTTGGGTTATTTTTTTTGCTCATTTGGCCAAATTCAAAGCAACGAATAAAAAAAACGCACCCTGGTAAAATCTGTTCAAGTGCACGGAGTCGTTCAGTGTGTTGCTGATTTCCTCTTCTGCCACGAGGCACCGGCCTTTCAGGCACACCAAGTGTAAAGAGCCTCACAGCTTTCAAATTTACAGCTGTCCAAATCAAATGTGTGAACTGAATGGGGTTTGTTTATTTAATTCTGCTTTATAATACACTTAACTTGATACCAAGTAAAAGAAATAGTCTGGCAAAGACATCATTAAACAGTTTAATAAGGACTGGATGACTCATTTTGTTTGAACAAATGGATTATTTTGCAATCAGAAGTACAAATGTTAACCAACTTTATTTTTAGTCAAAAATGTCAAGAGGTCAGAAACAATTAAAACAACTGTAAGGTGGGAGTCCCTGGGGTTTGTGTTCTCTTGGATTTACACCTTACTAAAATTGCTTTTATGGCAGCTTAGCAACTTGCTAACATTTTTCTGATAAGATAACAGGAAATGACTGTGTAGGCATATTTACGGGTAAGAAGAGATTAGAGTCAAACAGAAATGAGCATACTTTTCATTTTAACAGAACAAGAGCTGGAAAACTGAGAGGATCTGCTTTTTCCTTGACTGATTTGAAATGTAGTCATTATATTTTAAAAGGATTGTCTGACCTGCTTAGGATTTCCTCATCAGCTCAAAAATTCAACATTTTGGATATCAGCTACAAGCTATTTCATGTTGCAGTTCCTCTTTTGAAAGTTTGTTGTGTTTAGAGAAGAGAATGTGGTGTTTAACTGCAAAGAGCAGTTAACTGCAGCTCAGCAGCAGGACCGCTTCAAGGACAGGCACTCTGGGCGTCAGGAGGCACTGCTGTTGAACCTGTCCCTAGCAAGCCCTGAGCTAGTGAGGCTAGAGGCAAATTCAGGGGAGAATGTTCCTTTTATGCTGCTCCTCAAGCCTTAAGGGGGCTGAGATTTCTTAGCCCCATGCAATTACGCAGCCTGAGCTCACTGATGCAGCATCTCTCTCAGCCTGTCCCTGATGTACCTGACGGAGCAGAGGCACCACCTGAGTCTCCTGTGGCGCTGCCCTGCCAAGGTCACCATGGAGCTTGTGTGACCCCAGGAGGGTGGCAGGGACTAGTGGACCCTACAGAGCTCTGCACCGCGGTGCCAGTGGCGATGGGCAATTCTGGTGCTGGCGGTACGTCGCTCTGCCTGGTGTTACATCAACACCAGACTGAAACACACCTTGTGCTCTCACTGCTGTCGCTGCCTGATGTGCTTCTCATCCCGAGCTGGAATACCTTGGTAACCATGTATTCTCTGTGACAGGTCCGGATCGAGGACGACATCGCAGTGACAGCCAGTGGAATGGAGCTGCTAACGTGCGTCCCACGTACCGTTGAAGAAATAGAGGCTTTCATGGCAGAAGGCCAAAGCAGTGCCAAGTCATTTGGTGGCCTTTCCAGCCAAAAGCAGTAAACTTCAGGATGATACTTACTGTCTCACGCTGATCTGTCATCGTTCTGATTTAATGCTGCAACATATAAAGTAAAATGCTTAATAGCAAGAGAGGCAGGCAGTCAATTAGCTGGAATGATTCATTTGTTAAAAATGAAGGTGGAAGGCTTTAGAACTTGATACGCAGGTAACTCAAATGCTGCTGCTTGCAGTCAGCAGTTTACGTTATTACCCTAGTGCCACCTGAATAACCCTGCTGCATTATCAGTGGGGCTTAAACTTCTGTCACATCTCAGCTCAGACATATCTTGCAATTAAATCTGTATTTTGATGATTGAAAGTCTTTAAAATACCAAATGGGTTATCTGAATGCTGTCAGCAATTGTAACAACCTAAGTCATGTTTTAAACTTCATCAGAAGCACTGTGAAAACACAGAAGAAAAAATCAGCGGTTCTCGGTGGACATAATGGCACTTATATTTTTCATACGGATCTTATTTCAGTATCAATGGAGTAAGCAGAATCAAATTTTTATTAAAATTCATCCCTGGCATCATTTATGTTTACAGCATTGTGATCATTATGCTCTTTTGCTCTTGTTCCTGCTTCTTTATCTGACCTTTCTAGTTTGTGCTCTGGAAGCTTTGACCTTTCATTAGCCAGATTTTTCTGCTCTGTATAGTGGATTTACTGATCCTTTGCACACAGCCTGATGCTTATTAGATTTGTCCATCTATTTGTTCCTTAAAAACGTAGATTGCAGTGGTGTTCACAAGCCTTACAAATTGCACAAGGGAGTATTTTTGCTGCAGGGCTCAGGGTCATTCAGCAGCATATGTTGTGCAGAATGATAGAGTTATTTTTAACTGTCCAGTGTTAGCCAGTTCAGAATGAAATAAGGTACGTTTTACTTGGCTGCACCACAAACATATTAATAATGATCATAAAGTGGTTTTCCATTCATGCAAAATTTAAATTATCCAGAGAAGCCTTTCTTTACTGTAGGTGTTCATCAGCCTGCAGGAGAATAAATACATTTTTTGCATCATAAAATAGCACTAGTTGCTGTAACTACATAAAAATTATCTTGCTCACTTTATGAGCACATCAAAACTCCTGTTTGGTCTTCAGGCTCCATCGCACAGTTTGACTGCAAAGCCACTTCTGAGTATCCTTCTGCCCTGTCAGGGAGCTGAAGTCCCAGCAGGGTGTCGGGGCCTTTCTGAGTCCCGTGACTCGCCAGGTGAGGGTTTTCCCACTGTGAAGGGATCAGGTGACGTGATCATCTCAGCATCTCGGTTCTGTTGCTCACATCCTGGAGTTGGCACGCAGGCGATGGGACCAACTGTGAGCTTCTGGGTGCCTGCAAGTGCCTGTCTTAGGCGGGGCGTACAACACAACACGGGCTTGGATGGTGTCAAAAACTACTGGGTGGCAGTCTTTGTGCCCCCCATTTGGGACTGGCCTTAGGTCTGAATTTCCTTAAACATCGTCAGATGTGTTGCTCTTTTTGCTTATTGGATTGATCTGTGTGACAAGAACCTGCTCTTTATTCACAATAGTTTGGTGACCCATTGCTAAATAGGAAACTGCATGTTGGAGACAAGACAAGACATTGTCAAATAGTCCGGGGGACTTCACTCCTAATGTTTAATGTTGCTTTATTAACAAATGAGTCTATTTACTTTTTTTTTTAAAGGTTGCTCTGCATTGGTTTGTAAGAGGTAAGTGCAGAAGGTCTTGACTGTGAAGGGGAAGGGGTGAGATAGCAGTTTCTGTGGGCAGCTGTGCTAATGCTTCTGTCTTTGTGGACTGCAAGTCTCGTACCTATGAAATGTGGTACTTGTGCAGAGGACATCAGGCTTTTCTTTGGTGGTTTTGCAGATAACAACAACACATAAACTACGCTGGCACCTCTCTGGACTTGTCTCCCGCTAAAACTCAGGAGGTTTTTTCAGTGCATGACAGTGCTCATGGCCTCAGCCTTGTTCCCTCCACGTCCAAGTGCTTTCCTGTGAACACACCCATGGGATCGCCCACTGCTTTGGGCACTCTGAAACCTGCTGTTGCTTGAGTTCAACAGCAGTTACTATTTTAAAGTAACACTTCAGAGATTTTCAAAAAAAGAGAGTTTTTGGAATTGTTTCAACTGAGCCATAACCCCAGTCTAGTTAATGGGCCTTTCCCTGCCGGTGATTAATCTTGGCAAATATTGGGCTCTGCTGCTGCAGAACAGGTCGAGCAATCTGGAGTGCTGCAGGAGGCAGAACTGGTTTTGCTTCAACATGTACCAGCGAACAAACCCTACTGCGAATTCTGGGGGGAAAGCACTCACTCATGTAACCAGCTTCTCTCTTGTTTTGTTTGCCCAAGACGTGGATGCGTTTCAGTCTGGGATGGTGCACCATCTCCCATTTTCCTTCATAATCAGGCCCATGAACTTGGTGAATATAAATTTCATCCTTCCTTCCAAAAGGAAGGATCTCGTCTGTAATTATAATAATTTTTATCCACTTAGGCAAAAAGCGAATTAGAACTTTTTTCTAAATTAGCGGTGGGGGAGGGCAGGGAAGTAAGCTTTTTAAAAAAGGCAAAATGATACTTAATACACTTAAAATGTCTTGGGGGGGAAAACACAGGTTACAGCAAACTTTAGTTTTGACTACATTAGGATATTTTAGGCTGTTGGCTGTCTTGTTTTCCCAAATGCCTTTTCCCCTTTGGTGCAAACAGACTCAAATAGATTGGCACCAAAATAACAGAAAGAGTGGGTTATGTTGAGCAAGTCAGTGTGTTTAGAAAGGTCTGGGCACTTCTGAGGTGACACATTTAAATTGCTTCAGCTCCCTGGGGTTGGATGTGCTCTCTATTTATCTGCTACGCCAGTTATGCTGTTGGAGCTGCAGGGTGGAGTTAAAGTGGGAGAGCCTGGTAGTGCTCGTGGAGGCTGGATTAGACTCCTTCTCTTCGTGGTGCAGTGAGGAAAGGGGAGTAAGGTTTCCCGGTGAGACACGCAGTGCTGTAATGCTGCTTCTTGTTGTGCCAGGCACTGTGTCCTGTCCTTGTTAAGAAAAGGTGTTAAAAGGCAAACCTTAATTTTTAGAGGCCTACACTGAAATTTTCTTGTGTGGATGTGTATTTATTCCAGCCTTTCTTCAGGAAGAAGAGAGAACCATCCAAGGCACCTAGGTATGGGTGTCCTGCAGTGGAGGGGTAAGATTGAGGCATTTTTGTGGTTGCAGGGCCTGGGGCAAAGAGAGGGAAAACCTTGCCTCTGCCTTTGCTTCTCGGGAGGCTGAGAGCTATTTTGGCAGGAGGGGGCTTAGAATAAGACTAGCATCTTTCTTGCAACCAAGCTCTCACTGAGGGTAAATTTAAAATAATTTGTTATGATCTTAGGCCCATGGCTTCGCATGTTGAGGTGCAGCACGCGGCCTTCATGCTTCCCTGGGCAAACAAAGCAAGTGTGGAGGCTGCTAAGCCAGAAGTGTCGTTGTGCAAACAAATGACTTTTCATAGCTCGGTGGTTTTGCTTTAAACAAGAAGGAAGTGGAATTGGAGCTGTCAGGAATAGCAGGTGGAGAAGTCACCCTCCAGAGCATCAGAAAGAGTATTACTCCTACTCAGAGAGATTGAGGAAATAATTTTCACCAATATCAGAAACAAACACCAGAGATTTGGAGCCCATGATCTGGTTATTTGACCCCACATCAGCCTGTCAACCCAGCTGCAGGACAACAGAGCCCCACAGTCCCAATTCACTGAGCAGAAACCAGGGAAGAGTGGCCTTCCTGCCGTTTGCACCAGAGCAGGTGCGGAGATCACAAATGAGATGTTTTCAGGTCATCTTTTTATTTGTAGTTTTTGGTGTTCCTGTTCCTTCATCCTCCCCTTTAATTGCAGTTTTTAATATCTTTTTGTTGTTGTTAAATCAGGAATTCAGCCAAAACTGTAATGAATTTCTGCTTCTTTCCATTGAGTAAAAACCTGAGTGGAAGACGGGAATGGAGCTTGTTGCACTGATTTCTCAAAGACAGCTGCTTGAGATGGGCACCTCCACATTTGAGGGAAATACAAAAGGGACAGGAAAAATGAGGCCAGCACTAGAAGCAAAAGGTTTTTATTACCTTCCGATATTTCAACCCTACCTACTTAAGCTGCAGCTAGAACCCAAAAACTTCTCTTTGTAAAAAGACTACCATAATCCAAAACAATCCATACTTTTTTGCATATATTAAAAGTTTAAATTCAAGAAGAACTTTTCAAGGTTTCATTTGCTAACAGCATCTTCATAGAGATAATATCCAAATTCTCTTTCTAAGTACAGATACAAGGCAAACAAGCATCCTACAAAATAATCTATGGAAAAAGGTAGTGTAGGAGGCAAATTAAGACAGTGTAATAATCCACTAGCCAGACACACAGGTTAAATGTAACACAACCATACCATCAACGAAATATTTAAAAATGAAAATAAATTAAGGTTACATCAAAGTTCCTGCTTTACTTTTATTGTTTAAATCCTCAATATAGTACATACCACCGTGTTACGGATCATGGCAAAGACTTAGTACTAGCATTTAAAAAGCTGCTATAGAAAAACTTTTATGAAAATAAAACAAGACCAAAGATACTCCTTCACACAAATGCATGATGGCTACAGAAATTCCACTGAATCAGTTATTCAAACTAGGGCCATTTATTTTTAAAATCACTGTGAATTTCTGTAAGATCTTGGTTGCAAATCTGAACAGCCACAAAAATGGAGATGAGTATCAACAAGCAGTGATCCCTGCATTCGGGCTGAACCGATGCTGTCTTACCCCCTTCACTGCTTAGCCAAGCTGCACACTTCGTTCTCCCTGATACCGGCACCTCAGCAAGAATGCAATTTTGCAGAGCACAGTTTTTCTGTAGCATTTTGACATATTCTGAAAACCAAAGTCTTGTTCTCGTAAGGCCCCACCAGTCACTCTGAACAACACGAATACAGGCTTAAAAATGTGGTGCTTTACCTCTTATACACGATGCTGCCGACTCAGTTGCCATTTGGAAGCCAACTGCCTGTATATATCATCATAGTATATTGCTATTTTTCTAGCATCCCAGCTCACTATTACTACACCCTCCCCATTAGCTATAACTGGACAGGAAAGACCTAAGTGGTGCTTTACAGGACTTGCTCTACAGATTTGAAGTAGTCTCTACCACCCAGGAAAGCAAACCCCCTCCATGGCCTTTGCAGTTTCCTAATACCTAATGGAGAAAACAAAGGACTTAAATACACTAAAAGGTATTTAAGATACTTGATCCAATCATGAATTTCTGATACTACAGTGAACCATCCTGCTGGATTCCTTCCATTATGCAACCTGTAAGAAGGTAAGCAAACATTTCTGTGAAAATGCTATTTCCCTAATACTAAGCTCCTTGTTGACTATGAATTTAGATCTGCATTTGTTAGATAAATCTTTTAGAGGAGAAAAATATTTAAAAAAAAAAATCCTGGTTTAAATGTATCAAATCTTCAGTGTTGAACAATCTCCACAAAATGATGGTTAACAGAAGATGATCTCTGCAAAATGATGGTTAAAAGAACAGAGTTTTTGCTTGGTTACTACATGGGTGTTGCAGACAAGCTGCACCTTGAGAGTTCATTTCATAAGGCTGCAGCAGTGTCTACTGTCCATTGTTTTCTGGATTTGTTGTGGTGGTTTCAGTGCCAACAGGTTGCACATTGTCTGCAAGATTGTGCGCGTGCTCGAGGAACAAGTCTTTCAGTACGCTCAGCTCCTTGGTCAGGAGCTTAATTTTTGCCTCTAAACGTTCATTTTCTTCTTTGAGCTGGTTGACCCTTTGCAGGGTGTCCTGTGCTTTCTGCTTGCTTTTTAACCGGCTCTTTTTCACTGCCATGTTGTTTCGCTCTCTGCGCTGACGATACTCATCACTGTTTCTATCCACAAAGGAATTCTTCTTTCCCTGTTTGCTTGGAGGCACAGCTTTGCCTCCGCCACCAGGACTAATGGGCACCAGCTGGGGAACCTGCTGCAAACCACTGGTGTGTGCTTGGGTGTGAATCACGCTTACGCCGTTCGCATCTGTAGCGGTGTTCTGTTGGGATGTCTTGCTCATTTGGACAGGCTCTTCTTGGACAGAACAGAATTTGTTAGGAGACTGAAAACTCTTATGTTTCTAGAAGGTGTTTCCAACAGGTCTTCACATGGATTAAGGACAAGGTGGACCTAGTAGAAAAAAAAAAGAAATGCTATTAAAGGTGCTGGTTTCAGCTACAATCGTGAACATCACTGGCTTTAGCATAAGGTACCGGTGGTACGTCTGGCAGTTACGCATCACAACTGTGCTAGAAGTGGACAAGCTGCCAACTACATTTCAGAAGCCTCTCGAACGTATTTGGATTGGAAGGGACTGTTACTGGGTCATCTAGTCAAGCTGTTTGCATGGTTCACTGGCTTTACTCAGTTATTCCAAAGCCATCCCTGATGGATGGGTGTCTAGCCTAGCCTTGAATATCTCCAGTTTCACAACCTCTGTCTTGGCATCAGGCTCCACTGTCTAACTTTTCCTCCAGTTATATAATTTTCTTAATTTTCAGACTGGAGTTTTCCTTTTCCAGCTTAAACCTATTAACAGCCTGACTCTTGACCAACAGGACGACTTGATCCTTGTCCTCTTTGGACTATCCCTCTGGGTGTACGCACAGACAAATTCCTCGTTGGTCTCTGTTCTCTGGAGTGAGGGTGCTGAGTCTGTCCACCTTTCCTCGATCATCATACAGCACTTGGTTTTGAAGATCATGTCCAACTGTTTTAAGGTCTCACTAGTACTGAGTGGAAAAAAATAATCTATGGAAAAAGTTAAGTGTGCTGTCAAGGCTGTGACAGAGTGACTTTAAAAGAATCCCTTCAACCACAAGCAAGGTTAAGACAAGCTGACAAGAAATGTTGGGCCAGAGATCCTTCATGTGCCTTCCAACCTGGTATTCTGTGAAGCTAAGCCTGTAACGGTACTGTGACGAGCGGGTGGGACAGGAATGCAGGGAATCACTACACAACAAAGACAGAGGAGTGTTGCCACCCATAGGAAGACAGCAGCCACAGCTGACTCGCCCACAAAATATGTTCCCCTGCCGTAGTTCCTGAATCGGTCACTGTCTGCTCTCCTTTCCAGCAGACAAACAGGCCTGACGAGCAGGACAGCCTCTCACCTGACTCATGTTCCCCTGCTGCTGAGGTCAGCCTGCTCCTGACCCTACTGGTGGCACAAGGAGGATTCCACCAGAGCTGCTGCAGGGACACGGCCCTGGCCAGGCTAACAGCTGCTCCCCTTCTCTTCCCATCTCACAGGATGGCCTCCTAAATGTCTGGGAGAGAAGTCTGGGAGAGACGAGGGGAAGGGCAGCAGGGTTGTTTGGAGTTCCTGAAGCACCTACCTGTGGCTCCAGTAAGAATTACTCAGTGACCAGTGAAACGTGCGTTGATTTGTTGTCATGCTGAAGAAGTGTCTAACTGGCCCAAAACAATCCTACTCTTAAGACCAGATATCACCTATCCTAGTGCCCTGTGCTCACACACGTACGTGCAGTATCGCACGTCCAGTGTCCGACAGCCGCCTTGCCCATCCTCAGGAGGACCCCAGGGAAGGGAAGCCCTTGCAGCGAGCGGTGGGCAATGCTGGCGGCCCAGCGTCGGCCTGCTCCAACGCCAGGATCAGGGCTCAGGCAGTGGGTGACTGTACTCCCATGTCCAGCTTGATTAATGCATGTTGTGAGATGTTTGCAAAGGAGCTGCTGTGTGTCACTGGTCATTTCTATACTCAGGGGTTCATCAGCTGGTCACGGTTCTTGTTTGGTTTTCTCAGCAACCCGAGTTGCTGTTTTACCTTCTGCTAGGGTGTCACTGAAAGGGTTAAAATTCTACTGCCTATATCAATTACAAATTTTCTTCCATAACAAGAAAGAAAAAGATGCAACTACGGGGTATGTTTTAGTAAAACTCTCTGAAAAGCCTAAAAAGTTTGGCTTAAACTTTATTCAAAATTAACGTTCTCTGTCACAGAGAAGTCTTTTCACTTAAAACAAGTGATGAAAATGTGTAAGTATACCCACACCCTTCCTATCAAATCTTCTAATTTTTGTATTTCAGGGCAGAAAGAGACTATCAGCTCTTTGACATTAGTACAGCTAAATCTACATACATACCTATTTAGTATTTTCCTGATTTCAACTCTTAAAGTAACTTTTGCAAACCACATTTAAGCCTTAGATTCTGACTAAATAAGCAG